TCTGGAGGGAGAGCCTCCCCTCCCCAATTAATATTCTTATCTTGAGCCCTTGTCCCCAATTACTTTTCTGGTTTGCTCCTCTTCCTCTCTCTGATCCTGAACCAGAGGCTTCTAAGATGTCTTTGGAGGTTTCTAAAATGCCAAACGAACCCGAGCTTAAACCCTCCCACGGCTCCCACTGCTTTTGGCAGAAAGCCTAGACTCCTTCACAAAGCTGGCAGCGCCCTCCAGGGCCTGGCACAGTCACCTGCAGTGCCCCGACCAGCGAGCCGCCTCGTGCCCCTGGGCCTTTCTCCTGTCAGTCCTCCTGGAAGTCCCTTTCCACTTTCTTTCCTGGCTGACTCTTACTCACACTGCAGGGCTCCACAGGGCATTCCCGAGCTGGGCAGGCCAAGCTCCCCTTGCACCACGCTATTTTACCACCGAGGCAGGATGGAACGGTGGGTGAGAGGAGGGGCCCTGGCACCAGACTGCCTGGGCTTCAATCAGGCTCCAGTGACCTTGGGCAAGTTACTGAACTTCTCCCGCCTCCATTTCTGCATCTATAAAATGGGGCTGATAATAAAGGCACCTACCTCAGGGACTGTTGTGCTAATTTCAGGGGTTAATATAAGTAACCTGCTTAGAACAGTGCCAGCATATCTTAAAGCTTAATAAATGTTAGCTATCACCATATTATATTGGAATACTGTTTATACATCCCCTCTGCTCCAAGCCAGCCAGCCAGCCAGCCAGACAGACACACACACACACACACACACACACACACCCCCTAAGCTGTCAAATGCAGTAGCCACATGTGGCTATTTACATTTGAATAAATTAAAAGTTCATTAAACTTTTTAGAATTAAAAATAAATGCAGTTCCCCAGTCGCACTAGCTACGTGTCAAGTGCTTAACAACCCTGTGTGTCTAGTGGGTACTGTTACAGGCAGCAGGACACAGAACATTTCCATCCGTAGCAGGAAGTTCTGACGGGTACCGTAATGAACAGTGACGCACTAGACTGTGAACTTGAAGGCAGGGAATTGTAAATTGCATCTTATTCCGCTTTGTATCCTCAGCACCTAACACAGTGCCTGCCACACAGTAGGCAATAATAATTGTTTGAGGACCTGAACCTCGTCATTTTATAAATTAACATGGAAAGAGTGTTTCCGAGAGAGCAAGTAACTTGCTCGGGGCTCACACAGCCAGGACCAGAAGATTACAGGTCCATGTCCCTTCTAGGTTATCATTCTAAGCCTGCCCAGTTCTCTCCCCAAGTCACCACCCTTCGTGGCCTTCCCAAGTGGCCTAACCCATTGGCTTCCCTTCTCTTTAGATAATTGCTTTCTGCTCTGGTCCCTGGGGACCCTTGTCCCTAGCCAGGCCACTGCAGCCCCTCTTTCCATCCAGGTGCCCGCTCCCAGCCCTGGGTGCAGTTCCAGCGCCGGGCTGCCCGCCTACCTGTCAGCTCTACCTACAGCCAGCTCTGGGCCTCGCTCACGCCTGCCAGCACCCAGCATGAAATGTGGGCTTTCCCTGCCTTCCTGGGCACGGAGGCCTCCAGCTCAGGTATGCTGGGTGCCAGCCATGGAAGGGATGTTCCCCCCACCAGGATTTAGCCCTCATCCCTTGTGTCCCCTTCCTGCAGGCAATGGCTCCTGGCTGGAGCTGATGCCCGTGGCTGCTGTGAGCGTGCACCTGCTGGCAGGTAATGGGACAGAGGTGCCGCTCTCAGGCCCCATTCACCTGTCCCTGCCTGTGCCCTCGGAGCCTCGTGCCCTCACCGTGGGCACCAGCATTCCAGCCTGGAGGTTCGACCCCAAGAGTGGTGAGTGCCTCAAGGAGGTGCAGGTGCTAGAGTTTGGGGAAAGAAAGTAGGACTTAAGTTGGGGGGACACTGAGTTTGATGAAACCCTTGCCTCTCCCAGGGCTGTGGGTACGCAATGGCACTGGTGTGATCCGGAAGGAAGGCCGGCAGCTCTACTGGACCTTCATCTCCCCTCAGCTGGGCTACTGGGCGGCTGCCATGGCCTCCCCCACGGCTGGTGAGAGTGGGGGGACAGCAGGGGTGGTGGGTGGTAGAAAGGGAGGCTGGGAGAGTGGACTCCTTCTGAACGGCAGGAGGGACATCCACACCTGGCAATGCTAAGCTCTTGCCCCGCACAGGGCTGGTCACCATCACGTCGGGCATCCAGGACATCGGCACCTACCACACCATCTTCCTGCTCACCATCCTGGCAGCCCTGGCCCTGCTGGTGCTCATTCTGCTGTGTCTGCTCATCTACTACTGCCGGTGAGTGCCCCGCATCCCCTCCGACTGCTTCCCAATCCCCCAGCCTCCTCTCATCCCAGGCACTGACTGAGGCCAGCTCCATGCCTGGTCTTGTGCTGGGTGCTCAAGGCCCCAAAGATGCATAAAACACAACTTTGATCCTCAAGGACCGACAGGAAAGCACTGCATATGCACATGCAAAGACCGAAAGACGGGGGAGAGGAAGCAGGAGCTGCAGGCCAGGCCCCTCCAGGGACACTCTGCAGCTGCGTCTACCGCCCAGCCCTCACTTTCAGGGGTCCTCAGGCCACACATGCCCCTGGGTGGCTTAGGTGCTTCTCCCCGGCTCTCACTGCACCTGCTATGTCCCAAGGAGTGCAGTTTATGCTGAGGGAGGCCCAAATGGGCACAGCTGCTGGCTGCTCCCCCCACAGACGCTCAAGCTCTTTCCGCACACCTCTCCCAGGACCCATCTGTGCTCCCCAACCTCTCTCTTGAGTCCCAGGCACTGTCCCCACCCCTCCAACTGTATCCATCCCCCATCTTCCAACTGCGGGTTTAGGGAGCTGCTCTGGCCTCCACCCTTTCCTGACGGTCCCGCTCGGCCCCCTGTCTCCAGGAGGCGCTGCCTGAAGCCGAGGCAACAGCACCGCAAGCTGCAGCTCTCCGGGCCCTCTGACGGTAACAGACGAGACCAGGCCACCTCTATGTCCCAGCTGCATCTCATCTGTGGGGGACCCCTGGAGCCAGCCCCGTCGGGGGATCCCGAGGCTCCGCCTCCAGGCCCCCTCCACTCAGCCTTTTCCAGCTCCCATGACTTGGCCGCCTCCCGGGACGACTTCTTCCGTGCCAAGCCGCGCTCCGCCGGCCGCCCAGCCGCCGAGCCTGCGGGTGCCCGCGGGGGCGAGGGCGCCGGGCTCAAGGGCGCCCGCTCCGTCGAGGGTCCCGGCGGGCTGGAGCCAGGCCTGGAGGAGTACCGGCGGGGCCCCCCGGGGACCGCGGCCTTCCTGCAGGAGCCGCCCTCGCCGCCACCGCCCTTCGAGCACTACCTGGGCCACAAGGGGGCGGCCGAGAGCAAGACCCCCGACTTCCTGCTGTCTCAGTCGGTGGACCAGCTGGCGCGGCCGCCGTCGCTCAGCCAGGCGGGGCAGCTCATCTTCTGTGGCTCCATCGACCACCTTAAGGACAGCGTCTACCGCAACGTCATGCCCACCCTGGTGATCCCCGCGCACTACGTGCGCCTCGGCGGCGAGGCGGGCGCAACGGGGGCGAGCGACGAGCCGGCCCCGCCCGAGGGCGCGGCCCCCGGCCCGGCGCGCCCTTTTCCCCAGCCCGACCCCCAGCGCCCGCTGATGCCGGGCCACTCGGGCGCGGGGTGCGAGGGCGGCGGGGGTGGCGGCAGCGAGGGCTGGGGGAGTGGGCGCTCGGCACCGGTCAGCGGCTCGGTCACCATCCCGGTGCTGTTCAACGAGTCGACCATGGCGCAGCTCAACGGGGAGCTGCAGGCGCTGACCGAGAAGAAGCTGCTCGAACTGGGCGTGAAGCCTCACCCGCGCGCCTGGTTCGTGTCCCTCGACGGGCGCTCCAACTCGCAAGTGCGCCACTCCTACATCGACCTGCAGGCGGGCGGCGGCGGCCGCAGCACCGATGCCAGCCTGGACTCGGGCGTCGACGTGCACGAGGCGCGGCCGCCGCGCCGGCGGCCCCTGCGGGAGGAGCGGGAGCGCACTCCTGCTGCCGCCCCGCCGCCGCCGCCGCCGCCGCCGCCGCCGCCCGCGCCCCCGCGCCTGGCGCTCAGCGAGGACACGGAGCCGAGCAGCAGCGAGAGCCGCACGGGCCTCTGCTCCCCGGAGGACAACTCGCTGACACCGCTGCTGGACGAGGTGGCGGCGCCCGAGGGCCGGGCGGCCACGGTACCCCGGGGGCGGGGCCGCAGCCGCGGGGACAGTTCCCGCAGCAGCGCCAGCGAGTTGCGGCGCGACTCGCTCACCAGCCCGGAGGACGAGCTGGGGGCGGAAGTGAGCGACGAGGCGGGCGACAAGAAGAGCCCGTGGCAGCGGCGGGAGGAGCGGCCGCTCATGGTGTTCAACGTCAAGTAGCACCCGGCCTGGCGCCGCCTCCGGGCCGGCCCCCGCCGCCTCCGCCCGGGCCCGCCCCTAGGGTGCGTGCTCCGGGGGGCCGCGGGGCCTCTCGCCCTTAGCCCCCAGCCCCGGCCTGGAAAGATGCCCGGGGGCCTGCGGAGCTGTCCGGTGGTATGTGCTGGGTAATGTCTTGGGAGGGACCCGTGTCTGCCTCCGAGAGGGAGGTGGGAGGGGTCCAGACCCCCGATGGGAGGTGCTGGGGAGGAGGGCTGGGGGGGGGGAAGCAGTGCCTGTATAAACGTGGCTGTACATAGAAAGCTCTATCGTGGGAAAGCAGGAGGGGCACCTGGGCCTCAGCTGCTAGTGTGAGGGCTGGTAAGGGAGGGGCGTTCTAGTGGACCCCTGGGAGGGGAGGGGTGCCGCTTGCGGACTAGCCCACCTCTGGGCTACGATGTCACATGGCTGGAGGCTGGGGCGGCTCTGGGGACTAGGGGATAATGTGATGGGATCGCTGTGGGCAACAGCAAATATAAAACTGGTGAGATAAACTTCTGTGTGTCTTTCTGTGAGGTGGGGGAAATGCGGACACTGGATGGGGGCCTTGGCTCCAGGGTCCCCTGGGGAGGGCAGGCAGGGTGGCCAAATCAGACACTGTTAAGAAAGTGTACAAACTTTACTGCAGCGTGCACACACACACACACACACACGCACACCTGTGGATAGGGAACAGCACCTGGCCACAGGGTCCACAGAAATGGGGGGAGGGGATGGCAGCTGGAAACGTGGCTTTTGCCACAGCCCTCGTTGGGATAGGGAGGGCCTTAGACTGAGGCCCCGCCTCCCAGGGTGACAGGGGTACTCAGAAATGGGGGTCTGGGAGACTGTGGCGGCGGAGAGGTGCTGGGGAGGCCTGAGCAGTGGGCACCCTCTGAGCAGGGTCCCAAAGGCCGCGGAGTGTCTTCAGTCCTCAGTCCCTCCTCACGGCAGCTGCCTCGGGGCCGGGTCCCTCTGAGGAGCGTCCCAGCGGAGGGCTTCCCAGAGCAAACACCTGGTGCCCTTGGCCCCGCAGCGGAAGCCAGAGGGACAGCAGTGACGCCTGTCCGCACAACACGTGCCCTGGATGGTGGGAGTGGGGGGCAAGAGTTGCGCGTGGCAGGACCCGGCCCAGGCCCACACCCGGCCCCAGGGCGGGGGGTGGCACTGACCTGGCGGTAGGGACAGCAGGCCCAGCCCCCTCGGCTGTCTCGGCAGCAGGTTTGGTTATCGTGGCAGAAGTGCCCCTCCCCACAGTCCATGTTCCCCACACCCACGTGCCGGCCGCGGTCCAGGTGGGCAGCAGGGCGGGAAGAGTCCACCTCCTTCTCGCAGGATCGGGCCTTCACGTTGCAGGTGTACCCAGCCGGGCAGCAGTGCTGGCGGTCCTCACAGCACACGGCCTGGGGGACAAAGGGGCATTACACTCTCGACCACCTAACGTCCCCCCACCTGGGACTGGACTCCCCTGTCCTGTCCGGAAGCAGGCAGGTGGGCACTCACGTGTGGCAACTGGCAGCAGGCCCAGCCCCCGCTCAGGCTCGGGCAGCAGGTCTGCCCCACCGGGCAGCTGGTGTGCTGGTCACAGCCCATGTCTCTGGAGTGGGACAGGGAAGCCCGGCGGGCAGGCAACTTGGCCAGTCCGGTCACCACCTTGTTCCCCCTCTTACAGGGCCCCCCAGCCAAACACGTGTAACCCTGGGGGCAGCAGTGCTGGCGGTCTGAGCAGCAGACAGCCTGGGGAGGCGGCAGAAAAGGGTGATCTAGGAAGCTACTACGGGACGGAGCGCTGACCCCCCGCTGCCTCCACTCTGCCTCTCCTGCTCACAGCTCCTCCAGCTGGGAATGACTCTGACTGAGCTGGTGCCACCCGTGGGCCAGGCAGAGGGCAGGAGAGCAAGGCAACAGGAGCCTGGCCATGTGCTCAGGCCAAGACACCGTCCCTCCCCCCAATACTCTCCCCCTTTCCATGCACCTCTGGGACAGGACAGCAGCCCCACTCCCCAGACGTGAGTCGACAACAGGTATTGGAGGAGGGACAGCTGGTGACGTTATCACAGGGGACATCATTCTCCACGGCTCGGGGGTCCGGCAGGCTGACGTGGGCTGGGGCCTTCCTCATCCAGGGCACCCGGCGGGCCCCCTGTTCACAGGTACCCTTCTCTGTGTCACACCTAAACCCGGCCGGGCAGCAGTGCACGTGGTCCTCACAGCACACAGCCTAGGGTGGAGGGAGAGGGGACGGTGGGCCTGGGGGGCCTAGCTGGCTGCCACCCTCTGCTCAGCCCAGGCCACTCACCGCTCCTCGGTACCTGGGCAAAAGGGCAGCAGCCCCAGGCCCCGGACAGCAGGCGGCAGCAGGTGTAGTCATCGGGGCAGCTCACCTCCATGTCACACTTCACCTCCTGGACTGTGAGGCAGGCAAGGAGGATGGGTCAGCAGTGGCGCTGGGAACCCTCGGGGGTGCCCTCCCTTTGTCAGTTCCACAGCTAGAACCGGATGTGAAGGATGGAGGGTACCGCTCAGGCCACCCCGGCAGTGATCCTAAGGCGAGGCCCAATGTGGACGAAAGAGGGCTGTCCCTGCCCTGGCCCCTCCGCGCGGCCATCAGTCCCCAGCCCCATTTCTGCTCACTCCTCATGGTGCAGGTGGAATGGCGGCGTCTGCCACCTCCCCCGGTACCTGCGTGTGCGGGCAGCTTGATGAGGAGGTCCGTAGCATTCTCCTTGGAGAGGCACTTACTCTGGATCAGGTCACACACAGTGTCCTGGGGGCAGCAGTGCAGGTGGTCGGAGCAGCAGATGGCCTGGGTGAAGGCGAAGTGGTCTTTGGGATTTCCAGTCTCCCTAGAGCTCAGGGAGCAGCCAGGCCGACAGCTGGCACTGCCCCAATCCCCCACTAGGGGGTGGCATGAGTCCTGAGCAGCCAGGCTCCCAGCCAGCCACCAGCCAGCTAGCCCCACCCCTTGGAGTCCCTGCCTGGTAGGTAGGTGTCCAGGCCAGATGGCTGTGGACACACAGCCCAACTGGCTACAGCCCCTCACTCACACTGGGCATCGGGCAGCAGCCATACTTTCCACTGGGCAGCTTGCAGCAGGTAGAACCATCAGGGCACTGGGACTGTGCGTCCGGGCACAAGACCACTGGAAGGAGAGAGAAAGGTGAGGGGCAGCCAGGGTGGAGGGGAATGTCCCCCCAGCTAGGAGTTAGATGAGGCCTCTCCTCGCTCCCAGCTCACACCCCGACACTCTCCCACCTCCTTACCTGGCCTTTTAGTCTTTTGGGCAGGGATCTTCTTTGCCAGGGGGTGGGTGCCTGTGGCCGTGAGGCAGAGGCCACGAGCCAGGTCACAGGAGGTGCCATGAGGGCAGCAGTGCACCTTGTCTTCACAGCAAGAAGCCTGAGAAGAGATGGCCCTGACTATGTCTTTGCTCCCTCCAGCCCTTCCTCTGCCCCCACTGCCCTCCTCCCTCCCCCCATCTTCCCAAACTTGTACCTGGGGCATGGGGCAGCATCCCCATGAGCCATCAGGCATACTGCAGCATGTGGAGGAATTGGGGCATTCGAACTGTCTGTCGGGGCACTGGACGGCACCCAAGGGCTTGGTATCTGTGGACGGGATGACCCAGGATTCCACCCAGTCAGTGAAGGTCATTCCTCCCACCACTCAAGGAGCTGCTGGCACCAGATCCTGCAGGCCCAGCTACAGGAGGATTCGGGGGCTGGCACTAGGGCTCAGGGCTCCCCCAGGCTTTCCTAACCCACTGTCCCCCAAGCCAGTCCTTGCCCCAGCAATATGGCACAGGGCAGAGGCATCCACTGACTGGGTAGGCCTTAAACCAGGCCAGCTTGACCTCTCCCCGCCCACACAATGCTTGGCCGCGGGTCTGGAGTCTTACATTCTCTCCTGAGCCCTCCTCGCCCCCGTGCTGCCCCTCTCTCCAGAGCAGGGGGTCTGCTTAGCACAGACATCACGTGAATGAGGACACGAGGGCAGGAATCAAGGTCACCCAGCTGGCTGCACTCCTGGGTGCTCCAGGCTCTATGTGCGGCCCATCTGGCTCACCTGATCTTTGGAAGCAGGACCGCCCGTCAGCACTGCAGTGGAAGCCCTGGGGGCAGCAGTGGTGGCCATCCCCGCATGACACGGCCTGTGGGACACAGAGATGCCTTCGCTGGCTAGGCCCATTTCCCTGAGGGTGGGAAGAGGGTGCAGGAAAAGTGTAAACGCAGACCCAAGCCCTCCATCGACCTAATGGCACCCTCACCTCTGGGAACGGGCAGCAGCTGGAGGTCCCCGAGACAGTGAGGATGCAGGAGTAGCCAGGCGAGCAATGGGCGTCGGTCTGGCACGGTGTGCCCAGATGCCGGCTCAGCGCCGTGGGCCACTTGTCCTGGGAAGCGAGAGGAAGGGATAAACCGAAGGACCCGAGCCCGGCCCCCTCCTCTGGCCAATCCAAGATGAACCTTTGGGAAATCCCAGGCTGCTAGCTCTTGCCTGGGCCGAAGGGCACTCACCGGAACGGGATTGCAGCAGCTGTAGGTAGCTCCTCTCAGGTCCAGGCAGCAGGCCACAGGGCAGAGCTGACCGTCTGGGCACTGTGTTCCAGCCACCAGCCCTGTCACTAAGGCCACCCAGCTCACCAGAGTCCACATGGTCCACCTGCAAAATCCCTAGAGGCATTTGGCAACCAGCTGAAGCCCAGGCCACCCTCGATTCTGGGCCCAGTCACTCCCCCCGCCCCAGGCCCAGGCCTAGCTGAGCCTCCCCAGCCACACCCTGTCCAGACAGGAAGAAGGATGCGGGGCCTGAGATTCAGTTTCCTACATGTGTCCTGTGTGGGTGTCACACGTGCACCGGCGCGTGTACACCCATGAGCATGAATGCTGGCATGAGCACGTGTGTGAATCTGTGTCCCCACATGTGGCCTAACACCTGAGTCTCTGTGGCTGAGTGTGTAGAGACGTGGGTATGTGAGAGTCAGGAAGATTTGTGGGTTTTGTGGGTCTGATCTGTGGGGACGTGGACCACCTCCGAGGGGTGGTGAAGGCATCAGTAGCCATGAGAGGACAGGGAAGGGGTGCAAGGAGGGAGTCTCCCCTTGAAGAAAAGCCAGGGTTCCACTTCCCGAGCCAGCCCCTCTAGATGCCCGATGCTGTGCTCACACCTGCACCCTGCTAAGGCCTGTTGGCGGGGGAAGGGGAGGGGAGGGGGGGACACTTGATGACATTGGCAACCACGGGGTTGAGAAAGTTGTGAAAAAGGAAGTAAGGTGCCGGTGGAGTCTGGGCTGCCTTCCCCAGAGGCCAGCCACCACCTGCCCACTGACTGTCGCCTCCCCACCCAAGGAAGGGGATACACAGGCTGAGTCAACCTTTGGGACACCTGTGTTCTAAGGGCCCCCCAGTACCACCAGGCCCTTTCAAAATCCCCAAACATACCCCCTTCCCTTCCCCCCACCTCTCCCTGCCCTGGAGCCGAAACCCAGCTGCATGTGGGGAGACCACGTGTGCCCACTGGGCTGCCGATCTGCATCATTAGAGGGAAGTAAGCCTCGGTCTCTGGAAGGGAGCAGGCTTTCACTTCTTAAACAACTCTTCCCCAAGCTCAGCCAGCCCTGCTAGCTCAATGGGGTGGGCCCAGGAGATGTTACTCTGCCTAGAGGGGCCAAAACAGTCATGTTTGTTGAGCCTCTTAGGAGCCAGTGACAACACTCTACATTATTTTCTTTCTTCTTTGCAACAACTGTCCAAAGTAGAAATTATTACCTTTACTTTTCAAAGGAGGAAACTGAGGCTCAGAGATGTGAAGTAACTCCCCCCTGTCATATATCAAGACATAGAGATCACAGGCTTTGATGGCTCCAGACTACACTGGACCTGGGTTCATTTCACAAGTGGACCATGGGTAGTGCCTGGGAATGGGACCCCAAACCCCAGGAGGATAGAGGCCTGGGGTCCAAGCTGAGAAGAGGGGCAGAAGCGCTTCCTGGACAGGTGGACCAGGCCAGGACAGAAACACAGAGTATGGGGCTGCCTGGATACTGCACATGGGTCCTAGTCCTACAACTGCCACCGTTGACTATGAGAGCCCCAAAAGTTGCTCCCTGTCTTTGGGCCTCAGTTCCGCATTAGTCTGTGTGTGGACACTGCACACTTTGTATGGCAGGGAATCGCACACACCCAGTCACTCACATCCTCTCTCCCTCACCTGGTTTTCCTCAGTGCCCCCTCTCCAGCTCAAAGACCATCCCCAGGAGGCCATCTCCTGGCCAGGTAAGGCTGAAGAAGACTGGTCCTGGACTGAGGCCCCTTTCACCCTCTACACCGATGCCCACAGCCCCCCACCCTGCAAGGCATCTACAGCTGGCCGCTGTAGGAGTGCCTGTCTGCACACATCTCAGACTACTCAGCACCCTAGTGATTCATTTACATATATTCTCCTCCCTGTGTATCCTGAGGTTCAGGAGTAGAGTGTATGCTTCTACCGAATATACGTGCATGCACGCGCCCAAACACACTCAGGACCAGGGATGGGGGAGGAGGGGACCCAAGTCCTCTCAGCAGGGTTCCAAGTGGTGGCCTCTCTCCTCCTCCCCACCCTACACTGCCACCGCAGAGAGGGACAGGAACCTCTTCAAGCCCCCAGATCCGTCATCTTCCACTAGGGGGCAGCCCCCAACTCCGAGTGTCAGGAGAGAGAGATTCCCAAAAGGTGAGCCAACCCAGCAGCGAGAGAGCAGGAAAAAGTGGCAGGGGGAGGCGGAAGTTAGCTCGTCCCACCCCCACCCCCGCGAGAGGAAGTGAGAGAGAGCCAGACACAACCGAGGGGTTCAGTCACCACTCCCAACTCCCTACTGTCTTTGAGGAGGCCAGCGTCTCAAGCCCCGTTCCCAGCCCTCCGAGCTCGGGGACCATGGGCGGGCGCCTCGCCGGCTCCCGGCCGCCGCGGGGACTACCCACCAGCACCACCACCAGCACCTGCCGACGGGGGCGGAGTCGGCTCCAGAACGGAGTAGTCTCTGCTCTGGGGGAAGGGGCTGCAGGCCCCAGGGGTGCTGCAGAGGGAGAAAGTCCCTTCTAATGGGAATCACTGCAGTTACTGCTTATTCCCACCACCCATAAAACCCCTTCCAGTGCATCGGAGTTTCTCTAAGGGAGTCTTTTCTTGTCTCCCTGATGAAACTACAGAGGAGCCTGAAGCCCCCACCTCCTCCCGGCTGGGCCCCTGGGAAGGAGCAAGCGAGAGGTCTACGCAGCCACTCTCCTTACCTGCGTCGGGGTCGGCGATCCCTGGGGAGCAGCGACCGGGCAGCTCACCAACTTGGCCCCCTCGGCGCGTTGGCCCACCCACCTCTGTTTCCATTGGCCAGGTGTCCGGGCTGTCGCACTCCCATTGGCTCCTCGTCGACGTAAAGGCGGGGCCAACCTGGGAGGCTGTGCTGCTTTTCCTGCTCAATTCACTCTCCTCCCTCCCTTCCTCTCTCTCCCCAACCCCCCATTTCTAGGGATCATGTGATTAGGCAATCATGTGATGCCGTCGCCGGCTAAGCCTACCTGCTGGTGCCCGCCTCGCTGCCTCCCGCAGCCCCATCCCGAGATGGGCCAGCTCCTGTCAGGGGACATTGAGAGCCAAGAGCTGTCCCTTAGAGGGTGCGTACAAGAGCATTTACAGGATGTCTCTTGGATTTGGAACATTTGTGCATCCTGTTTCTATTCTAGTCAACCAACTCAGATTTAATGCTGGGCAGCCGGGCCCCAAAGGGGAGTGAAGGAGTAGTGAGGGCAAGGATAAACAGCCCTCAAGCCCCTTCCTCAAGGGGCTCACAGCAGGGGGTGGGGTGGGGTTGGAGAATCGGGGGCCAGGTGCTCTAGGTGTGTGTAGGGAAGACGTAGTAGGTTGGCTCTAGGCAGGGAAAAAGAGGTTTAATTCAACCTTGGGGGCCCTTTTTTTTTTTTTTTTTTGGTGGTACGCGGGCCTCTCACTGTTGTGGCCTCTCCCGTTGCGGAGCACAGGCTCCGGACGCGCAGGCTCAGCGGCCATGGCTCACGGGCCCAGCCGCTCCGCGGCATGTGGGATCCTCCCGGACCGGGGCACGAACCCGTGTCCCTTGCATCGGCAGGCGGACTCTCAACCACTGCGCCACCAGGGAAGCCCCGTGGGGGCACTTTTTGAGCTGAGGCTGGGAGGATTTAAACTGTCAAGTGGGGAGGGGTTGGAGAAGTGGCTAGATAGGGGGTAATGGGAAGAACATTAGGAAACCAGATGGGAAAGGCAGCCTTGGGCAGGGATTGAGTGCCAGGTTCAATGGAGTGGACTTGAGGAGCTGCTGGGTGTGTGGCACCAGGCTGGGCTGGCTGTGCGTGCATAGCACAAGTGGCTTCCTAGTTTCGGTTGGCCCTACCTTTCTGGAATTGACATGCCGGTGAGGAGAGAAAATATACCACACGGAACAGATTCACCAGCAGCAGGAGCTAGACTGCTCAGTGCCAAGGGGTCTTTCCCCGGCAGAGATGGTTGATGGGAGATGCACCAGGAGAGATGAGAGGCCCAGAGGAAGCCTGGTGCCGGGTCTTGGAGGAAGGGCCGCGTTTGGTTGTGCCGAGTGGCTGGGGAGCACTGCAGGTTAAGCAAAGAGCTCGAGCTGGGGGTGAGGCTGGGGTTGGGGACAAATAGCCAAACTCAAGGGTGGTGGGAGTCTGAGTAGAGAAGATTTTGATAGAATCAACTGACTGTAAATGTGAGGACTGGACTCTGGACTCTCAATTCTATTCCACTGATATATGTGTCCATTCTTAAGGCCAGTATCACACTGTCTTAATTACTATAGCTTTTTAGCAAATTTTGAAATAGGGGAAGTGGGAGTCCTCTAATTTCTTTTTCAGGATTGTTTTGGCTATTCTAGGTCCCCTGAATTTCTATGTGAATTTTAGGATCAGTTTCTGCAAAGACAGCTGAGGGTTTGATAGAGAATGCACTGAATCAATATTTGGGATGTATTACCTTCTTAACAATATTGTCTTCCTATTCATGAATATGGGCTGTCTTGATTTATTTATCAGTTTCTTTTTGACAGTTGCCAAGTATTCCACACTATAGGTGTTACATGTTTACTTAACCAGTCTCTCTTTTTTTTTTTTTGGCCACGCTGTGCAGCTTGTGGGATCTTAGTTTCCCTACCAGCGATCAAACCCGTGCCCCCTGCAATGGAAGCTCAGAGTCCTAACCACTGGACCACCAGGGAATTCCCTTAACCAGTCTCATTTAATGGACTTTTATGTGTTTCCAGTTTTTGCAGTTACAAGTAATTAGGCAACGAATATTTCTGAACATGTCTCTGAGTGCACATATGGGGGTTAAATTCCTGAAAGTAACATTGCTGGGTAAAAGGTATGTTGAAATATTAATACCAAATTGCCTTAACATTTTTCCATTTTACACTCCCAGGCTCAATATTTGGGGGAACTTATTTCCCATATACTCACTAACGTTGGATATGCCAGTTCAAAAAAAATTTGCCATTCTAATGACGGAAGATATTTCATGGTTGTTTTATCTGCATTTCCTTGATCTCAAGGGAAGCTGAGCATTTTTGTGTATGTTTATTCTGCATATGTATTTCTTCTGTGAAATGCCTGTTCTTATCCGTATTAGTCAGGGTTCTCCAAAGAAACAGAACCAGTTGATGTGTATATAGAAAAAGATTTATTAAAAAGGATTGGCTCACATGACTATGGAAGCTAGTAAGTCCAAAATCTGCAGTGTGAGCCAGCAGGCTGGAGATTTAGGAGAGCCGATGGTGCAGATGAAAGTCCAAAGACAGTTGCTAGAGAATTTCCTCTTGCCTGGAGAGGCCAGTCTTTTTGTTCAATTCAGGCCTTCAACTGATTAGATGAGGCCCACCTGCATTATGGAGGGCAATTTGCTTTAGCCAGAATTCAGTGATTTAGATGTTAATCTCATCCAAAAACACCTGCCAAGTTGACACATAAAACTAATCATCACACAACAAACTCACAGATATAGAGAACAAACTAGTGGTTATGAGTGGAGAGAGGAATGGGGGAGGGGCAATATAGGGGATTAAGAGGTACAGGCTATTATATATAAAGTAAGCTACAAGAATATATTGTACAACACAGGAAATATAGCCAATATTTTATAATAACTATAAGTGAAGTGTAACTTATAAAAACTACATTGTACACCTGTAACTTACATGATATTGTATAGTTGATATAGTACATTGACTATAGTTCAATAATAAAAAAAACTAGCCATCACATTATCCCTTGTTCATTTTTCTCCCGTGTTTCTTTTTCTTGTTGAACTGTGGGAGCTCTTTATATAGTCTGGATATTACATATGTTGCAGATATTTCCTCCCAATCTGTCATCTGTCTTTTATCTTTGTTAATGGTATCTTTTGTGGTCAGAAGTTGTGTTGTTATGTCATCTGAAATCTAGCAATCGATCTTTTCCTTTGTGGCTTCTGCTTTCCCGCAGCCCACACTTGCTTAAGAAGTTAGAAATATGTTCTTCCTGGTCTGTGACAATTCCTGCTGTGGTCCCACCTCGGATGCCAGCACTACCCTGGATTGAGGCACCACAGTGATAGGAGATTCCACTGAGAGGCCTGACATGAAGAGAACCCCGGATGTGACTGGCTAAGAGGTTCCTCAAGGTCAGGGTTGGACAGCTTCCCTCTCTCTCCCTCTTTCTGCTTCTTTCAGCCTCTCCCCAGTTCTTCCCATCACCCCTTCAGGGTTTTCTTCATTCAGTCTTCCAGTCCTGCTCTCATAGAAGAGTCACAGCTGCCCCAGGGCCAGGGGCCTTTCCCCCCAAGATCTTGAATTGCCCGATAAAACATCAGATGCCCAGTTAAATTTGAATTTCAAATAAAGACAAATTTTTAAAGCATAATTATGTCCCATGCAATATTTGACACATACCTTCAATTAAAAATTAATCCCTGGGAGTTCCCTGGTGACCTAGTGGTTAGGATCCGGACTCTCACTGCCAGGGCCCGGGTTCAATCCCTGGTTGGGGAACTGAGATCATCTCCTCAAGCTGTGCAGTGTGGCCAAAAAGAAAAAAAAAATTATTCCTTGTGTATCTGAAACTCAAATTTAACAGGGCATCTTATATTTTTATTTCCTAAATCTGGCAGCCCTGAACACTAAGGTTGGAGTGAGGGTACAGAAACAGCCCCTGCCTCAAACACGCCTACTCCTTCCTTCCCCATCCTGCCTGAGTCACCTTAGGGTGAGTAATTGTTGCCCCAGTTGCTCAGACGCCTGCCCTCCTCATCGGGCACCTGACTGGTGTCTGTGGGGCTCTGCTTGGCCCTCCAGCCTGCCTGGGTAGGTGTGGGGGAGGGGAGGCAGGAGCAGGCCAGTACCCAGGCCCGAGGCTGTGGTGGGATATTTGGCAACAGAGGCACCAGACCTGGATTCCTGACCTAGCATAGGCCGTGAACTTGCCCAGTGCCAGTGGGCAGGCCACTTCCCTTGTTGTTTTTTAATCAATTACTATTTTTAACAAAGTATACCATGCAAATAAATTTTAGTCAAGTTATAACACAAAGCAGCACTCTTTTTTTTTTTTTTGGCTGTGCTGCATGGCATGCGGGATCTTAGTTCCCTGACCAGGGATGGAATCTGTGCCCCCTGCAGTGGAAGCTCGGAGTCCTAACCACTGGACCGCCAGGGAAGTCCCAACACAAAGCAGCACTCATCCTCTCTCTTTTCCTGCACCAGGCTTCCACTTCCAAACCCTTTAACCGTTTCTTCTGTGACTTTCCCTTGTGTGCTTGTATGTGAATTCTTAATTCGCCTTTGGCCTCAGTGTGTTCATCTGGGCAGTGGGTGAGCACTGCCCTGCTGTCTGTCCGCTGGGAGATTCAGAGTCTACACTGAGCTGTGGCGACTCCACCTGGCCCCAGGTGCAGGTAGACTGATGCTGGATGGTATCTTTAAATCCAACTGTGGGGTGCAGGATGCAGGGTAGGGGTTCAGCGGGAGGGAAGAGAGGGGAGAAGGGGGAAGGCAGGTAGGGGAAGTGGATTACTTGGCTTTGCCCTGTCATAGAGGGAGCTTCAGGGATCCTGATGTGCAGGTCTGAGAGCCCCTCATCTCGCTGAACCCCCTTTCTATGCAACGAGGAACCTAGCGCTCAGCGAGGAAACTCCTCTCCGGTCCCCTTCCCTCTTACAAGCGGTGTGACTTGACACCTCTCTGCCTCAGCGTCCTGGTCTTTACGTTGAGGGCACGACAATAAGGCGCTTCCCTCGGGAATGAGATGATGCCCGCAGAGCCCTCAGCTCAGGGCCTAAGCCAAGTATGT